ATGTTGCATTTTAGAAATAAATTTTTTAACAGCTTATTAATTTACTTATCATGAAAGGTAAATAGTTTTTCATTATAAAATAGATATTATTTATACTAATATACATTGTATATCTTGTAATGTGTATTTTTAAAAAGATTTTTTTTCTATTTTTTAATCCAGTTTAGGATGCACTAAAAAAATATTTCCTCAGTGTATCCTAAGCTGGATAAAAGTCAGTCCACAATAACAATCTATAAGACGCGTTAATTTATCAACCAATTCTACTAAATGGTAATTTATTTGTAGTCGTTATTTAAATTAAATTATTACTTTAGATTAACATTAAAACTAACTTGGTAGTGCAAAAAGCCCCTAGTATCTTCACCCCTAGTTTATCTGTCAATCCGGAGAGCAAGGACATAGTTAATTAGATTCCAAAAAAATGTCATCTTTGTTAAATAGAAATATTTCAAAAAAACGTCTTTTGTTCTAGTTGGATCTGCTAATGTAATTAAGCTACTTGGAGTACCAGCTTATGAACAAAGAACTGTTAAAAAAATTGGGTGATATCATTGCTGAAAACATGTAATTGCAACGACTCTATTATCAGCGTGGAATTTGACACAACTGCATTAAATACAGGGCATGTCACTGCAGCTTGTGTGACCATTCAGCACAACTTGAGTTGTCTCTTTTTAAATGCTTGTCGTCACCACTTTGGAGAGACAATCTTAGCACATGTTTTTTCGGACCTCTAGATTAATGTTCCTAATGTTTCTACTCTCTGTTTAAAATTATTCAAAAAAACCTTACGCTGCTTCAACTACATTCAGCTAATCAACTGTCGAGGTTCACCTCCTTCAATAAAAGCGCTAAAATATTTACTGACCGTTGTAGAGAAGATATCACAAAACTCGTTTATGCTGAACTAGATTATCGTAGAGACAATTATCTGAAATTCGTCGAACTATGTACTTTTTTTTTTAACGTGAAAAATATGGACTCACCTTTACCTTTAAGAAACTTGGCGCGTTTTGGACCACTTTAGAGTGTTGGAGCACTTTGGAGCACTTTGGAGCACTTTGGAGCGTTTTGGACCATTTTGGACCACTTTGGACCACGTTTTGGACCACGTTTTGGACCACTTTGGAGCGTTTTTGGACCACATTGGAGCGTTGCATTAAGACAGATTTTTTTGCAAAGCTGATCTACTCAATGAAAATTTGCTTATTTAAAAATCAGGTTCGCAATCCTACACTTAGCACGATAACTACAAAATCACGAACTTCCAAATTAAGAGAATTAGTCAAATTTGTTATCCTGACATAAAGTATTTGGTGAATTCCATTTTTTGCTACTTATGCGCCATGGAATGATCTTATGTTATTCCAATTGATACAAGTGTATGCAGAATTACACCCCCAAGAATAAAGTAAATTAAGATTAAATGGCAGTGCGGAGAGTGGGGTTAAGCTCAGCTCTGACCTCTTACCTACTTTCAGGAGTGAAGATCATTATGAAAATATTTTGCTAGTTATCGAGAAAAACAAAAGCAGGCAACAAGACATTTGAAAACCCGAAAATTGAGCCACAATGAACGTTAAGGCTTTCTACTATAATTGTTCTTAGCGTTTCTTTTCTTTTGCTTAACTATTATTCATTGTGTTGTAGGTCATATGTATGAACTTATTTGCTTGAGATAAAGTAGTTTTGTTAAATACCAATTAAAATTGTCTAGAAAATATTTCGAGTATAAGCAAAAATTTAAATGCTTGGTAGACCACCTAAAATTAATTCACAAGTTCTATTTTGGTAAATAAAAACAAATTAAATTGGGGACAAACATTTTTAAATATCTTTTCGTAATGTTGAATGTACGTTAATTTATATGTATATATATATATATATATATATATATATATATATATATATATATATATATATATATATACATATATATATATACATATATATATATATATATATATATATATATATATATATAATATATATATATATATATATATATATATATATATATATACATATTTATATATATATATATATATATATATATATATATATATATATATATATATATATATATATATATATATATATATATATATATATATATATATATGTATATATATATATATATATATATATATATATATATATACATATATATATATATATATATATATATATATATATATATATATATATATATGTATATATATATATGTATATATATATATATATATATATATATATATATATATATATATATATATATATATATATATGTATATATATATATATATATATATATATATATATGTATATATATATATATATATATATATATATATATATATATGTATATATATATATATATATATATATATATATATATATATATATATATATATATATATATATATTTTTATATATACATATATATACATATATATATATATATATATATATATATATATATAATGAGTAATTTTTACAAAGTTTTTTTTACAAACCTGTTTGCTTTCCTATCAACCTTTATATAAAACTTATTTGTAAATCCTTTATCATTTTTAGTACCGGTGATGACATTGTGCAGCAATTTTTTTTACCAGTCCAAAAAGGAGCGCGTTTTGAGCAAAGTGACCTTTTTCTAAAACAACTCGAATATTGCCTTTCTTGCTTGCTCTGTAACTTTATTAAAGCATTTTTTTTTTCCATTGACATTGTAATTGCCAAATTTTTTCTCTGAACTCATCTAGCCCTTCCTAGTGACGTAAGATTTCCCAGAATTTTGTTTCCCAGAAATTGCGTTTCCTTTACTTTATTCGTGTTGCCACTACATTCTTTGTCTTTTCAGGTTTTTTTTTTTTGTTAATCATCTGCAGTTGCCTCTGCCTCACCATTATTTTGTGGAGTTTATGAAATATTTGGTGGTAGTATTTTTTCCTTCATAACTATTCCAATAAAGAGCTTGACTGCTCTCAAAAAAAATTTGTTAACGACTCAACAACTGTAAACAAACAGAGCAGATTTATTATATGCTACATTATTCAGTCATTGTATAGGTGGCAAGTTCAACTATTTTTGTTGACATGCAAGAGCCTGAACAGTTTCCAAGACTTTGCGCCTATCAAAGATGATAGCTTTGTTTGTGAAGAAGCTGGCGACTCTGGAAATATGGGCGCCTCCTTTGACAGACTTAACATTTATACTTTTGTATTTCAACAAATTGGTAGAATGAGAAGAGTGAGAAAAAAAGTGCGAACCGTGCTCTCTTCGGTGAGATGACACAGATATCTGATGTATGCTAATGTTATAGGTGTTATGCCATATATCTTGTGTCTTGTCTTGATCAAAACCTTTATACCAAATGAGATCATTCTACAACTACAGATTACACACCAATGCATCTTCAGCCAAACGTGTTGAAGGCTAAGATTTTATGTAGAAAACTGCATTGAACAAGCAAATGCTACACAACTAGTAAAATAAACCTTGACTAAAATTCTGCTCACAAAATGCATGAGTCTTTGCACTGTATAGAATGGTTGCTATCAATTAGGCATGAGTAAATGGAGCAGGCTGTAACCAAAGAAAAGTACGAAGGCGGCTTTTCTTCCAGAATTATCAGTATCATATCGGCACTTTTCCGCTAGTTGCCACTAGACATTGCATTTTCTGATGTATCATCAGATTTAGGCATAGATAGTTCACAAAAAAAGGTAATTGCCTCTGGCTGACGTTCCAGTCTATGGTTGCAAATGTTAAGCTTTTTTTATGTCGGTGGCTGAGCAAGTGAGTCCAAATGCTGCTGAAAATCTGTAATTTCTGGGGTATCTGGGCTAGATGTTACATTAAGTAATTTCTACCAAACTATACACAAATTCTTTCTAATTCATAGTGTTAAGTAACATACCTTTTGCCTATTATTGTTTCCAACTTGAAAAAGGCATCATTCTTCCTACCGATATTAGAAGCAGTTGTATCAAAAACTCTACCTAATATGGCGTTATCAACTTTCCTCTTCTGTATCTTTGATAAGATAAATTGAAAATTATTTGCTTCTGTTAAATTAACAGAACTGCTATCAGGACTTTCATTTCTTGGTTGTTGACCTGAGGATTTACCAACTGTCAAAAACAGGTTTTGATTGCTTTACTTTTGATCCATTTTCTACCTCAAGATGACTTTAGTTTATTTCATTTTATGCTTTACTTCTCTCATATAGATCTTTTATTCTGCAACAAGGCACATTTTGAGCTTAAAGAGCAGTCAGGAATTTAAGATCTTTATTTTTTTGGTACTTAATCTATTAGGTTCTATTTCCGCCTGACTATCTTAGTGTGATATGAAAAAGTACTGTTTTAACTCCTTACTAAAAATATATTTCTTCTTTTGATTTTACAACATTTCTTTTTAAGTGTTCTATAGTTACCATGCATATCTAGAACATTTGCTTCTACTTTTCCTTTACGTTGTATTTCAATGCCAGTATAAGCCAACATCAATAACAGTTTTGTCGGCCACAGCTTTATTACAACTGCTTCTCGTGCTTCATTTGTCCATCTTTCAAATAAGTAAATAAGTGAGTAACATTTCTTTTATTGGGAACTCTACAAACTGGTAATTCCAATATAGGCTTTTTTATAAGCCAGATATCATCCTCTTTCTTCAGATTAATAACACATTTGGTACACTAATGTGTTTCAGTTATTAATTAATCAGCAATCAAATACACAGAATTATTTAATGAATTTAAATTTACAATATTTTCAATTGCATTAACGCCAACAGGAAGTCAGCCTTTTTGCCACTTGTTACTTATAATTATCATAACGCTTAAAACTTTTCTAAAGTATATATGTATACAACAATGTATATAAACTTTACCAAGTATATATGTATTGAGTACATGTTTATATATGTACTAAAATATATTTTGTAATCATTTATTTTAAAAAGTTTTTATAGTTTTTATGTTTTGGTTTTTTAAGGCCTCAATTATCTTATGAGTTATAAAAAGTTTCTTTGGTCTGATCACACTAAATGGAATTTAAAAATACCTATTGAAAATATATTAACTCATACAAACAATATTTCAACAAGATGTGTGGTAATAAATACTGATAGCTGGAATGGTCAAGATTGTAGCAATAAATATGGATACATTTGTAAAGTAAAAGGAGGTAAGGTTTTGGAATTTTTACAGGCATCAATAAATTTGTGTTTTTGAAGTATTATTAGTTTTTATAAAATAATTTTTTGTCTTATGTGTGGTACAACAGACGCCAATATTGTAGGTAAATATATTTTTTTTATTTTATCATAAATAATCAATATATTCTTATTGTTTATTTTAAAATATCATACAAATAAACTATTTGTTTAGTTTCCAATAAGTAAAATTACGTTGGAACAATGTTGTTCTAACATCTTCCGTATCATTGCAAAAACGTTGGTATGATATCATAAATAAAAGAACAGAAAAAAAATTTTCTAACGTTGTTGCAACAGTGTAAAAATGACGTTCTAACAATGTTACGTTTGAACCAAATGACATCAAAAAGGCAATAAAGTAACTTTAAATTTATGACAAAAAGTTATAAAGACCAATAAAAAATATAACGTTAGCCAAACGTTTATATAAATGGAAATAACTTTAAGACAATGTCTCAACGTCATTTTCATTCGTCTACAATAGCTTCTACACCAACAAAACTATCATCTTTGATTAGCGCAATGTCTTAGAAGCTGTCCAGAATCTTGCATGTTCTATCAATTTAGACATATGAATCATAGCAGAAATGAAACATAGTCCGCTGTTATTTTGAAGACGATGGCCAAACGTTGATTAGAAAACATTCACCGACGTTTTTATAACACTTTGACAATGTTGTTTCTTCACTACAAAAAACAATAAAGCACAATGTTAAACTGAATGACATCGCGCTGTGGTATTCTTTTTTCCCTTTTATTAATTAAGGTTGAATATGTAAAAATGTTAGTCCTGACAATAAATTAAATATGGAAAGTAAAGACTAAAAAAATAACATAAAACTTTTATTTAAAATACTTCTATTTCAAAATTTTAAAATGATTTACAATCATTTAGAGTGATAATAGTATAATTTTTACTTTTTACATAAAATGCGATCGTCTCTTAATTAATAAGCAAACTTCAAAAACAGAAAACTCCGGTGATGCTCACCGGAGTTTTCTGTTTTTGAAAAATTATTTACTTAAAGTCGCTTAGCATTATTAGATAAATAGACATAAAATTCCTAATTAAACTGCAAAATTTACGAAACTGTCCCCAAAAAACAAGTTTGAATTCAGATTTTTGTATTTTTTTTTTTTTTTTTTCAAAGAGGTTGTTTTGGCAAAGACAATGTTTTGATATAACTTGAAATGCATGATAAAGTAAAAAAGGCGAATCAAAAGTCCTTTTAATAAATAGCTTTCCTTGACCACTTTTTTGGGTGACCACTTAATTGGATGGTTTTTCTTCCAATCTAAACTATATATATTATGTTTATGGGCTTGACAATTTGAGAAAGTGGCATCTTCTCACCAAAAATCAATATTTTTATACCCAACAATTTTTAAATGAAAAGACACACATATCAAAAAGTGGTCTTTTAAAATTTTATAACAAATGAATCAGTTTATGTACATTGGGGTAAAAACAATTTTTTTTTCATGAAACCACTCACAATTTAAATAGTATTTTTAAACAGTACAGTTAGTGTTTTGTACAAAATATACCGGAAATATTAAAAAAATGTTTTTTCCTATAATCTTTACATTAAAAAAGTCAATCTTTTTTGATTTCGTATAAAGTTCCTTTTAGTTTTACAGTATCTGGGTGTATCAGTTTATGACTCGTCTTATGACCTAGGCACCATTAAACACTTATTTTTCATCTTGAATAATACTCCAATAAATGAGGAATTGAATGATGGAATAGAACCAAGCATTTCCTCATTCGTAACAGATAAAATTGCATGCTAGAGCAAAAATGTTGCGCCTCCCTGGTATAAGAAAGAATGCTAAAATAGCTTGAGGTTGAGCTTTTGATATTTAGACTCGTTTTATAAGGTGGATTGATTCCGAAGAGTCTTTTATCATTGAATAACCAATCTTTTCTCCACTACTAACTTACATCGGGTAGAGTTCTTTATCCTCTGTGCTTTTCCATTCTCCGTTAATGGTGATGAAATTAAACAACAGAGAAAGTGTTTCAGTGACTTTTTTAGATGATTTCCTTTTTGTTATATATTTTAATTAGACTATTGAGTTACTTTATGATGAGTTCGCTGGATAATAGTAGAACTTCTAGAATTTCCACTATTACCCAGCGCACTATTCGTATTATGGAATAGAAAAATTCTATATATAGGTATCATAGAATTAAAAAATTGTATTACCGCAATCAAAACTTTGATTCAAAACAGTATCAGTTCCTTGCTATTGAAAATAAAAGTAAAGTTTCCTAAAATTTGAAGACATTTGTTTGATGGCATCTGTGTGAGATTTTTCATTCAAATGCAAACGCAACTGTTTGGCTTTACACTGTTGCTGAAATTTCTATAAGTTATTTTATTTTGGTTTGAGGGTGATTAAATGTGTTGCACTTTTCTTCCTCTCTGTAAAACTTTCAGCTTTGCACTAAAAATGAGATTTCATCCAAAATATTCAAAATAAATTCTAATGTTTCAAAACAATCTATAATATATATTTTAAATTTGCATCTGAAATAGTTAATAAACAAAATATAACAATAATAAACTAATTATGTTGAGAAAACTTGCCCCAAGTTGGAGCTAATTCACATTGTATAGTTGGAATCAAAACAAAGAAAATTAACAACCATCTGTAAATGCCTACTTTTTAAAAAATTGTAAAAAGCTGACTAAAATTAGCTTAAAAGTAGACTAGAACGTCATATAAAAATTCATTGTGAAATTTAAACCCGAGCCGATCTGCACAATAAGTAAACAAAATTTAATAAAAAGGTAGAAGAATTTTTTCAAACTTTTTTAAAAAATGATGTTGCTACTGTCATTTTCATATTATTGCTCCTCAAATGTAAGGGACTTCAATTTTGTTACAAAAACAAATTACAATAATTATTACCCTAATGTATATTGTATGTTGTAAATATTGGACTATATTAATCCACAGCCTCAAAGCCAATTCACCGGAATCAATGCATAACCAATGCATTGTTAATTTGGTTTGTTTCTTTAGTATCTAGGGACCAGTAAAAAGAACTTTATGATGTAGCATGTTATCTTTTAAACCCTATCAGTGATCTAGGCTGTCTGACAACATTAGATGACTTTATGACGGATAAGTCATTTGAGTTTTCAAAAGTATGATTAATTTGAACAAAGTACAAATAACATAACTTTAATCCCTCTTTCAAAATACCAATAATTTACGGATAAACAAACTACTTGCATTAAGCAAAATTATGTGCAAAATAAATATAGAAATCCTAAACAAATCAACTATAAGGCTTTTAGATACTTTATGATCTTTTTAAATAATCTTAGCAAACTGTGTGCCTGCTAAGGAGAACTATAGATAAATTAGAAGTAGGTAATATGACTAATGTTTAAATAAACTGGATAACAAGGAAATGAAATATAGAAAAACTAAGATAAATTATAAAGACCATGTAATATCTAACAGTAAAAAAAAATTGACCTGATGGAAAAAAACTCTTTCTTTTTATAAATTTGATATTACGCATACGCTGAAGTATCACATGTCAATTTTTAACATAATAATACTTTAGAAAATAGTTTTTGTAAATAAGACCATTTTCTAAAAGCATTCGAAACTGTTACAAAAACTCATTGAGAAACTCCTTAAAAGATTTAAAGTTTTGTTTGCTATAAAAATAAAATAAATAGAAAATGAACCAAAGGTTCAGAACCAAAATAGAAAAGTAATGACTAAAGCTGTGTATTGTTAAAGTTATAAAAAGACAGACCATATACATTTACTATTAAACATACGTCATTGTTAATACACAGGTCATCTTAGACCATATTTTTATTATTAATAGCTAGATGTTAAAACCAAAATAAATAAAGACAATAACTTTCAGTATTCACCTAATTAGGTATTTCAGTAACAATTTAAAAATACTTAGTAAGTTCTGATGCTAGCGTTGCAGCATAAAGACAAGCAAATCATTTAAAGAAATATGTGTAACTAAATGTTTGACTGGCTACAAAGATAAAATAAAGTCAATTACAAGAACAAAAAATCTAATGTGGATTGGAGTGAAAAAATTCATCAATTAAACTTCAATATTTATCATTATCTAATAAACTGGCAATAAAAGAATTAGTCATTCACCATATGGTTGATCTTGATATTATCATATAACTTACACAAGACAACTGAAAAATTCCACAAAAAAACAATTGCTTGTAATGGACATTCAAATTATATTATTGTTTCACAACTGATCAAATAAGTAAGAATAGAAAAATTATATCATCTTACAACTGAAAGTTTCCCATAATCAAAAGCATAGCGAATTTTAGTTATAAGCAATCAAAGAATGTTTTCAAAGTATTCCGGACTGAAATCTCGTAACTTTAGTTGAATTTTCTTTTTCAGGTGGTTAAGATTTTTTTGCTTTGAAATCATTGAAATAAACTCTTTGTTTTAGGTGAGCCCAAAATGTCTCAATAGACCTTAATTGCGGTACATTTGGTGGATTATTATTTTTAAAAAATTAGGCTATATTAAACTTTGTATATGTATCAATTGTTAGCCTAGCATAATGACAGCTTTCATCATTAGGCCAAAACATATATTTTATATTTTTGTGATGCAAAATAATGATGGGAACAAATTTCTTTTCAATGCATTCTTTGGAATATAATTTTGCATCAACGACATTTTTCTTAGTTGCAAAGAAAGGCTTTGATTTTCCATATCTACTGATTGCAATCCTTACTAAATCTATCGCTTGAAACTCTAAGTTATACGTATATTTAATATTATTTTCAGTTTCTTTTTTATCAAAACTATAGAAGCCATCATTTCCTGGTGTGATTTGGCTGCTTAATGTAAAATAGGACTCGTGATTCATGATAACTTCAAATTCATATGACGGTCGGAAAAAAGTTTTAACAGTCTTTGTTTTTGTTTAATTATTTGA